TGATGACACGGGCTTGGAATCTCAAACCGGTATTTTTATTTTAGGGGGTGCTTTACATGAAGACCCACGGACATTTTCAAATTGTTCGAAAAAATTGCACGAAATGTTTTGATTAAATTTTGTTGTCAGATAGCATAAGTCTCGTTGTCGTTGAAATCTCTGATCTTTATAGAATTGCTAAAATTCATTTTCTTCGGCGTTTTCCTAGAATTAAAAAATTCACGATATTTTTTCCTGAAATAAAATTTGTTCAGCATAATTAGTAATTTCATTAATGCCATGCACATTTTTTTGAAATTTTAATAGTTTACCAATATTGTCCGAAATCAGTGAACTATTAAAAATATCAAAAACAATAATTTCTCTAAAATGACAATAATTATTTTTCTTTAAATTTTGATAGTGATAGTGCTAAATGTATTCCAAGATGACATAAACACTATTTTACTGTACTTCTGAAAAATTACAAAAATGTTAAAAAAAATTGTTTCTCGCATTGTTAATATTTACATTTGCGGCGATTTGTTTACATTGTATTGATGAATACAATTACTTTAAATAACTTTTTTACTAAATTTTTCGAAATCTCAAATGTTTAGAGTAAAAGTAGTCTTTAAAATGTGCCGTTTTAAAAACGCTCAAACTATACTTTTCAAAAACTGCTCCAAATTATCCAACGAAATTTATCACATGGGATTTCTGTACTATTCTTAAATTCATAATTCAGTTTTACCATTAGAGAACTGTAACATAAAAAAGTAGGAGAGGCGAGAGATGGCAGCAGGAAAGAGAGTGAGGCAAATCAGAAACAAAACTAGTCCACGCCAAAGAAATTTAGAAAGCTAACTCATACGAAAACGTCTGTGCCATTTTGTAGAACAACTAGGTCCAGGCTCTCTGCAGATATCTTTTAGTGTATGCTTTAGGCGGCGCCCCTTTGGCCCGACCTGAATTTTAAACCTAGGTTCGTGGCTTGAAGTACGGTGGTAGACAGATGTCAGTCTAGTCCCTGACCCAATTGACATTGTTTCCCTGGCTATGCTACTTTGTCCACACGTCCATCCGTCCGGGCAACAGCCATAAAAATGAAAGAATACACGTGGTTTTGAAAAATCCCCAACCGTGCAAAAGCACACACTCATGCATGTGGCGGGTTTCGAACCCGCCACCCTTCGAGCCGAGACTGCTAGTGTGTTTGCTTTAGTGATCTTACATACTCAGGTCGAGTTGTTTCTGCACGTAAAATCCATTTTAAAACAATAACCGATCCATCATTAGCATCAGTCGCAATTCGAAAGTTATTAGACTCAATTTGGCATTGTGTGGAAACAGCTTGATTGGTAACTTCTCAACCTCTCAAACAAGTTTAAAATCTATAGTGGTTGTAAATAAGAAATGGAGTGGCACGTGCAAGAAGCGCGTGTTTTGAAGGGGTGCGTCTGCTTGCAGTGCCGGTGCACGTGCAGATCCCGCCCACCAATCGGAGCAACCAGGGCCGGGGCCGGGGCGGCGGGGGCCAGGGGCGGAGCCGCTCCGCCGCGCGTTGACGCCTCTCGCCCCCCACCCCACACGCGGAACGCGCCGTCTCCACGAGGTAACGTCGGGCCAAGCAGGACGCGTGGCCCGTCCCTCCACTCCCCGACACACGACACGACACGTCGCAGTTCGCTGGCGAATTTCCGGACGCAGAGAAGCAGGACATCTCTGTTTGCTCTTCGAGCAACTAGACTTGAGCAGGCATGAGCTAGAGCAACTGCGATCGATCGATCGATTGATCGATCGAGTCAAGTCAATGTCACAATCCTGCTGCGCAGAGGGTGGTCCAAAACGTTACGCAAGTCCCGTCTTACAAGAATAGTAAATTATATGATAAATATTGCGCCATTTTGTAGCAACGCTAGTCTTCAATGCTGCTTTTGTTCCCCAGATCGGGCGCAGCCCGGAGCAGCGATATGCATGCAACGCCGCTCAGCGCAGCCAGGCAGAGGGACTCCTCGATATTCTCGTTCGCTTTTTGGTTTGGTTTGTATGTAGAAAATGTATCTGCCTTGAAGTTTAAGAAATGTTGTTGATTGTATTTTGCAACCGTTCACATTCATTAAATTCCATTTATTACAAAATTTATTGCATTTATTAAAACGTCCATTATTAAATTTATCTTTAATTCCAGTGATCAATTATTTCATTTAAATCCATTACTCCTTTTATTACAATATCTGTGATATTATCTGTACCATTTTACTTCTAATTTTTCTATCTCTTACGTTATAAGATTGAGAATAATAATTTTTTAGTTGTTGCATCTTCAATTCACGTTGAGTGCTCAAAAACTACAATTCTTAAAAAACCTATTTAACGTTTTCTCTTAAAATATTTTTTTTCGAAATATCCGTCCGTTCGTGTGTTCGTCTGTCCAGATTCCAAGATGGCTGCCGCGCGGTGAGTCGTCCATCTTTCGCGTTAATTATTTGTATTTGGAAGTGCGTCACAACGAAAGTGTGTGCCGGATGGTAGGCGAATATGAACTTTAGGTTGTATTTTAAAAATTTCGCAGAAGCTTCATGCAAACTACCCCCCAAAATTAAAATATTGGTTTAAAAATCAAGGGGGCCGTGGCATCAGTCAGATGAATTGAAGAATGTCACTTTTGGAGAAAATTGCTCAATTTAGCTGCTAGGGTTATTCAAAGACTGACAAGCAGATGTTTCTCTGTCAATCGATTTTCCGGTATCACAGTCCCACAAAACATAAATTCTGACTACACCACGTGATAGAGAATTTCTTCTACATTTAGCAACTGGATTTATCCAACCATTTTTTATTACTATGGCCCGCCAATAAGAGTTTTAGTGCCGAAAATTCGCCGCTTTTCCCCGTAGCATTTTATAACTTTCTCTCTATTGCGTAGGCAGTAGCGAGACAGTAAAATTGTTATGGTTAATAAAATATTCAGGATATGTTTTCTGTAAACCACAATTAAATATGTGTATATTTGAAAGTATTTGGAGACATTTAGCCCTTGAAGATCTTTATTGAAAAGAACTTTTACATATAATTTTCGTGCGTTCGGAAAAAAAATTAGTAGTACAAAAGTTTTTAAGTGGTGGGTTTCCTCCACCCCTCGGCTATCCCATTTTTAACCAGATCTGCGTCATTCGTTTATTGATGGGTGAATCCGGCCGAATCTATTGTTATGTTCATTATTCCTGGACGTGTAGTGCATTTCTAACCAGCAGGGGCGCTGATCTTCCCTCACTGGATGGGCCATCGACCTACGTCGTCTTGCGAGTAGCAGCCAATACCCCACCAGCGGCGCATCGGCTCTAAGCTCCCGACCGGTCTCCCGGCGTGTGTGGGAGAGCAGTGCATTGCAGTGTAAGCGTCAGGATAGGACAAGGAAGATGAAGGAAGGATCGCTCACGTTCAGTGGCCCGTTTGTTAGGGTACTGCTCCGACATTCGCTTGGTTTCCATCGAAAAAACGACGGTAAACTACCGATCAGAGCAGCCAGCCCCTAGAATTAATTCTCCTCCAGACAACGGCTGAATTCGGTTCAGCAGTCTAGCTAGTGTCGAAAATCCTGTCACAGTCGGGATTTAAACCTTTGGACCTCACGGTCAGAGGCAGTGCATCAATGTTGCGGTGTCAAGAATTCAACAACATTTCATCAGTGTTCCGCCAAAATAACCGTCTGCGCGAAATGAGAGATAATATACTTTAAACATACAAGACTTGAAACTACTCGTGTCTCTCGTACGTACAAAGCTAATTGCTTGAGGTATTATTTCAAAATAATTACATTAATAGTAATTATTAAAGAAATATTGCAATAAAAAGAGTTTGGTAATAAATCATTTGCATTGAAGAAAGTACTTACAACCTGCCTACGAATTACAGACAAAATTCTTCGTGCGAGAGGCATTCAGCCAAGCAGTCTATTGTATGTCTCAACTCGTATTGTATGTATCTGATACCAAAAAAAGGATTTTACTTCTGTATGTAGTAAATTCATTTTTGTAATACGTTGCGCAGTCGAGACTTTTGAGGTTCTTTGATAATGAAAAAATTCTTTTCGGTACAACCGTTCTCCGATGAACGTTCTTGGGCAGAAACAGCAAACAAGTCTTTCGCAGAATGCAATATTCCCTGTACAGGCTCATACAGTGGACCCAGCAATATGTAGCCACTATTATTACGATGGTGGCTCCTTTATATGAAGCCTCAAAGATCTTGTCAAAGATCTCAAAAATGGCTTCAATTTTTTTTTCTCGGCGAAATCAATTTACGCTTATAAAAATGATGTTCGTAAGATCACCACAATATATGAATCTATGTGTAAATATAGAAATGCTAACAAATATCTTCACTACCCCTCACCATTTACAGTAATAATTGTTTTGATGTTTTGCAAGTTTAAATCTTCCAATAATGTTACGTACATTTTTTTTAAATTGACATTTTCGCACTATTTTGAGTGAAATAAAACAAATTTACATAAAGATTTTAAGATTTGAAAATGTAAGCAAAGAAGATTTTCTTAGAATTAACTCCATTTTTTTCTTTAAATAGCTTGATAAAATGAAATATGCTTAATAGAATTATGAATAAAGAAAATGGCAGAAGTTCAATTTTTTAGATTATTGTTTTTCTTCTTTAATATTCAAAATTGAAATGTTAAATCATGCAAATAATTCTTAAATATTAGATATTCAAATTAAATAAGGTGTACTTTTTTGAAACTGTACGCGAAACTTCTGGCCCTCCCGTTCGGTTACCTTGTAAAATTATCACTGAAGTGTCGGTGCGTTAGACGTTGCAATGACATATCACACAGAAATTACCAATATTAGGAAAAACTACGATGAATTTAAGTTTTTTAAAATTTCTTTTGAAGTAAAACAAAAAAGTTCCTTTTGAATTGAGAAAAATTTTAATGTGAAATTTTAATGCGAGAGTTTGGCGTACCCAACAAAAAAGTTGTATGAGAGTTTGCGAAATTTGGATAATTTCAACATTTGTGTTGAAGTTGAAAGGAGAGGCAGTTTAGGACTAAGAACAAAATCAATACATTAGTTGTAGCAAGAAAAGTATAATTTGTCGCACAATTCAGGTTAAAGATGACCATTTAAATTGTCAAAAATATACAAAGTATTTAACATCGAAACTGCAAACTCTACACGAAAGATTCCCAGCCAGTTCTCGGGCAAAGAAGTTTCTGTCGAAGCAAATTATCTGTGAACAAAACAATTAGAATATTAATGGAATAAAGTACGCAAAATGAGAAAAGCTAACAGAAAGTTGATGCACTTATAAATTTGATAATATTGTTAAAGTTTCAATTATGTGAAGTTCTAAAGAATTTTAAGAAATTCTAGAAGTGAAGAAACCATTACAATCAATTGGTTTACTTTCCAGAATACGTATAATTTCCTTTTAGTCCTCAAAGAAGAAATTGAATCTTCTCAAAAAAATTGTTTCAATGTTCGAGGAATATCACAAGCCTTAAAGAGACCATGTTTTTTGGCAGTTTAGAAACGATCAAATATCTTTTCTGAAATAAAATACCACAAATGCAAAAACTTCCCTCTTGATTTTTTCTGGTAGGTTTGTCCCATATTAGAAATAATGTTACGTTATTTCTGTCTTTGAAAGTAGCAAAACGTTTTATTTGCCAGCGGATTCAAGGCCAACTATTACTTTCTGCCCCAGAGAGAGCTGCTTTCAAGCGAGTTTGACCGAATTAAAGACAAATCCCGATTAGTACTTAAGACTATTTTCTCACCCGATATTTTACGGATACCTGAAAAAAATCGTGAACACTTCCAAAGTCGTCATTTCCTTCTCATCTCCTCGTAATTTTCGATGCGAGCGCGCAGTCGCTGCCGAGGGAATCCACGTTGACACTACTTTTGCGAAGTGAAGATGGTTCAATCCGCTTCCAACAGATTCATAAAAGTAGCCAACCAGCAGATAAGGTGGTTTGATTCTGCGGTGATGGCCAACCTGGAAGTAAATGCTTTATATTACACGTCTCAGATTTGAAAGTGTTTTAAATTGCAAAACATTTTAATACACGTACTTTGTTTCGCGAACATTCTTGAAGTGTTCTGGCTACATGCATTCGACGTTTGGGAATGAAAGAACATTTTATGACCTTCCCTGCCTCCTCTGTCATGTCTACCTACAACTAGGCACTTCCCTGGGCGCAATTCCCTCGCTGCGAGAGCATGGCCTCGAAACATGTCCAAGGACTCCCCCGGTGGGGGGCGTTCCAGAACGCTTCTCTCCGTCAACACAATTTAATGATTCAAAGTGAAACTTTATATTTCAGAGAAAAGCACTCCAGAACGCCCCCAATACCCGTGAAGGGTATTCACAACGAAGAGCCCTGAGCTAGCCAGACTACAGGGGCGTGTTTGTAAGGGGGCCCTAAATTGCCCCTGCAGTCTAGCGAAGAACTACACTAGGCAAAAATTTCGCGCCTTCCACAGGCTCAGTTAAAATGTGTACCTAGGAGCCTGCGATACATTTACGAGCTAAGCAACGAAGTTAAATCGCAGAATATTCTGTAAATTAAACCATTTGACTAATATGACACAGAAGGCCCCGTTACATCTAACTGAGCAGGGCCATGGCTGTACATTCCACCCAAATACCAAAGTCTTCTGCAAGGAAATAGCTGTTCGACAGTTAATGTAATGGTTTTACAAGGAAACAAATCTGAACTGAAACTAATAAACAAGTTACGTTATGTACATAAGCAAGTTTAGTTGGTGCATTGAGAAAAGTAAAAAAAAATATACTTCACTGAAAATTACATCTTGTGGATATTAAAGTTAAAATGAGCAACAGTGAAAATGCTTTGAAAACTAATATGCATCGAATGTGTCTGAACCAGCTTTTCCCTCGGCATCTACGCGCGCCTACGCACAGCCAGGGGGGAGAACGTGGAGTTCAACGTACCTACAGCGCATCCCACAAGGGCACGCGCCTCGGCTACGAGAAACCACAAGATGGCGACGGCCCTGCTCAGATTTTCCCCAATGTACACACCGTTCCGCACGCCGCTGCAGACTCCGCACAGGACCCAAGCGATGCCAAGAATCCACACAGCACGCCTCCCTGGACCACACAACTGCACGAAAGCCGGCACTTAACACTAAACACTGCACGAATTCCTTCAGCGCACAACGCCCACCACAACAGGTCTTTCCCGACTTCACGAAACTGTGCGAAAGCAAAGTGAAAAAAAATCAAAGCACTGTTCACATTCTTTCACCACCATAGCAAGTCTTCATGAACCGAGCAAATCCACCAAGAACAGGACACCATTTCACAAAGTAAAGCACGTGCTTCACGGCCTAAATTGAAAGCACTTTCAGAGTAACTGAATTTACACGAAACGCACTGGATACGGCTTCAGGCCGACCCCTGAGGCAGCAGCGCCTCCACTGAGCGGAGCAGCACAAGGGGCCGCGTCGTCTGCGGCANNNNAGCGGGGCCACCCCTTCGCCTCTCGCCACTGGCTGCTTCTTACTTCGTGCGGAAGAAAGCACTTTTCCGAATTTCGTTTTAGTCTTACTCATTTTTTGGTCACTTACGATTGTAAACAACTTCGTTTTTACGGATAAAATATTAAGGCCTATTGTAGTTGTAGACGTAACAGGGTGCACATACACTTTCTTCTTATAAAATCACTGACTGCGTCACCGGTGGGGACAAGTTGCATCTAGCTGCTGAAACGTCGCGGGTGCGTTGTCAAAGCGTTTTCCTTCGACCGTCCCAAATTCGCCTCATACTCACGGCTTAGAAAGGATTACAGGGTCGGCAAAAGCTTCTGGAAATGTGAAACGTAAATGTACTTGTGTTTGAGAAACTATTTACAGACACGACTTAGCAATCAATTCATTAGATTGATTTGTTTCGCAGTAAAGATAAATAATTATGAGAGTGGTTGCTGAGCTATGTCATGTGAGAAGGGTTTGCTGGAACGGTATCTCAATGTATTAAAGAATATCGATATCAGAGAAAAATTTTAAAAAGTTATTTATCGTGTGCAGCGCTTGTTTCACAATCACCACACCCCCTCAGATTAAAACTACCTAATTCTGTCGGAACTAACAGGCTGTTACCTCGGGCGAGGGTGATGTTCCTTCATATACACCTTTCGTGTATTTTCTCTCTGAATCTCCACTATTACTAGAACCTGCAATGACCTTGCAGTCCATTTTTGCTATCTTCGATAATACCTAAGATCATCATTATTATTATTATTATTATTATTATTATTATTATTATTATTATTATTGCCAGCTCACACCCCTTAGTAGCGCAAAGACCTCTTACTTTGTAAGGGATTTTCAATAAAATACATAGCTTGTAAGTTTGTATTTTTAGTCTTATTTTCGTGTTCATTTTTCACTGGTCTCTTCATGTCTATTTCTGATCTATGTATGTTCATGTCTCTTTCTGCTTCTGAGCCACTTCATGTCTATTTAGCTCTTCACTATCACTTTTCATAACTTCACTTACAGCTCTCTTTTGATTGTCCTCTTTATTTTTGACTCTCTTCCTGTTTATTCGAGCTATATATTTGTTCTGTCAACTTCGTTGAATGTGTGAATGACTTCTCTCCATTATCCGTCTTCCCAATCTTTTTACCATATCGTTTCACCACCGTGTTCTCTATCATCCAATATTTCTCTTCCCAATATTTGGATCTCATATTGTAGTTTTATAGGTCTATCTGTTTGTGTTCATTTTCATTACGTGTCCTACCCATTTCCGTTTTAGAAGACGCGTGAATTGACCAACTTTGCTTTGACCTGTTCTTCGTCTTAAGTCAATATTTCTTACATTGTCTTTTAGACTACCCAATATTTTCCTTTCCATCTTCCTTTGACATATGTTTATCACATATTTCTCCCTTCCCGTCTCCTTTTCCCTCCTCTTATATATTCGCCCTCAACTATTTGTACAGCTAGTATAATAGTTCTGAGATCACTTTTGAATCAAAAATCATAAAGAGAATATGATGGAAATACTACTGAATATAAAATGCCCTAAGAAGCTTGTGTAGTTCTCTTGTAATTCCAACATGCGACCCGCGCTGCCATTTATTGTGTGGCGCGAAAGACTATTAGTCAAAAAAGAAAGTCCTTGCATTCATGTCGGGCGAGGACATCGTGCACCTAGCGCACGCCCCCTGCCGGGGTCAACACTCCACTTAATCTAAAAATAGGTTACGTTTCGATTTCAGTATTTTTCTGGTAAATTCGGAAATTCAAAGTCATCCCAATGCGTTTCACCCCGTTGTGCATGACACGGCCCGATATCACGCATAGTTCCACCCCCCTTCCCCGCCCCGGTTCAGAGCAGCAGGGCAAAGTGCCCCAATCTACAATACGGAAAGGTCAGGTGTCGATTGCCCGAGTAATGAAAATATGGCCCGCAACCATATTAAAGGTTTTAATTGTGGCCCTTGAGGCCTTGCAAGTTGGACACCGCTGATCTAGAAGCATCCATTCAACTTACCTGCCTTTGACTCGTCGAAAGGCAGATTCCTCAGGCTTATCTGAACTTACATTGATTGATATATTCAGTTTCAAAAGCGAATGGCAATAGCATTAGGCAATGGCATTACAATTTAAACGTTTTATACTTAACTTACTTAAAACGATTAACTTACAAACTTAAGTAGTTGCAAATAATATAATCGTTACAAATTATCCTCATGACTATACATAACTATACTATCTGAATTCAAAAAAGCCAATTCACAATACCAGTTTTTCTACGTTTATAATTTCAGAATTCAAATGGCCTACACATTGATAAAAAGCATTGGAGTTGATTAATTTTTGAGTATTTGTCCTCGAATATGTCCAATTTTGTCATCGAACACATTTTGTAGTACAAACTTTTTGGCAAAGATTTGAAATATTTGCACTATTATAATGACGGTAAATTCCAATGAGCAATTTCTTACATGATAACCAGTACGAGTAATAAATGGTGTTCATTACAATCTGAGTATAATGAATTGCTTGCGAAATGGCGGTAGTGATACGTAGGTTTGACAGTATCGCTGACATATGTGCACTTCTGTATTCCGTTGAAAGTATTACATTATTAATGTGTATGGTTATTAAATTTGTAATGTGTTTTATACTTACTTGGCTCTATTCGATTAGTAGTTACAACAAGTGAAATGCAATGTTAAATATAATAACTAATGGTGCTAAAACAAAGAACTTTCTTGCTCGAATTTTCATGCTACATTACGCGAAAAGTACTCAAATGAAAAAGTACTCTTTGAAAAATTATACATTACCTTATTTCAAATCTATCTTTAAGGAACCCATTTCATCAAAAGAAAAACTTTTAATATATTGTACTAGGAAGATAACGAAAAATATTTGAACTTTTACAATTTTCGAAAAATCAGGGTTTTAACGAAAATAAGATCTGTACCATCCTCTTAAAAGTTCTTCATACAATCTAAAAAAATAATCAAAGCTCGTCGTTGGAGCCATTTCTTTGAACTTTGGGTAAATGTCTCAGGACCTTCATGTAAAGTCCCCCCTAAAATTAAAATATCGGTTTCAAATTCAAGGAGCCGTGGCACCAGCCAGTTCTATTGGGGAATATCAATTTGGAGAACGCTTTACCAGCTAGCGGGGATCACAGACGCACAGACAGACAGACTGACAGACGTATTGCCGTCATTCTATTTTGTGGTATCAAGGGATTATCATATGGATTCTGGAAATACCACGTGCTAGAAGATTTTTTCTAAATTTAGCAACTGGATTAATCCACTTTTGCGTTACAAAGTCCCTGTAATAAGAGTTTTTTGTGCAGCATCTTGTGCAAGTACTCTGTAGCGAGACTGTAACAAAGCTTTTGTCATCACTCAGGATACTGCTGAAGCGGTGCGAGGGCGTTTGGGTTCGACTGGTGCACTACCCTTGACACCCCGCACGCTGAGGAGTTCGATTTCCGCTTAGAAGATAAATGCTTTCAGGAATGTCTGAAGTACTGGAGGCATGTCGCCCCATAACTTCTTCTCCTGTGCCAGAAAGTTCTCAGCACTTATATACTTGTAACGCTGAAGCTAGAATTGCGACAGTTGAATAATATGTAGAAGGAGAAGGTGGAAAAGGAGGAGTAAGAAGAGGAGGAGAAGAAGCAGAACAATAAGAAGAAGGAAGAGGAGGAGGAGAAGGAGGAGGGCTGTCAGCAGTCGATGACACTTCAATAAACGTATCTAGAAGTTGTGTAGGTGTTAGGCAATCAATATAAATAACGCATGGGTTGGTTTAAACATATTTGACTTGAGCGGGATTGTAAATTCAAACAACTCATTTGGCGAATATTAGTTGACGTCAGCAAGGGATACAACTTGCAATTATGTGTGCTTCAGATGCATTGCAACCACCCAAATACATTTTTATAGGTTTCGTATATTTTCGAAATTTGTGTTTCCATTCCTCAGTGCAAAAAAAGTAATTGAATCATCCATCGTCCCACTGGCACAATGTCAAATATAGACAAAAAATGCCTTTTGCCTTTTGTTTTCATTTAAAATTATTTCTGTTGAGCGTAGGCAAAACAATAATAGATAGTGGCTAAAAACATCGATAGCCTTTTACTTTCACTTTCCTTTCCGAGCTCTGCACCTGGTCATGAAATGGAACGCAATTTCCGTGTCTGAGGCCGGCGTGATCGGGGAGGTGTTGGGGTGTCAGAATGGTTCCAATGGAAGGAGCGAAACGACCATCAGGATTTGCGTGCGTACTGCCGACGTGCATTAGCCGACATGCTGCCGCAGCACGTGCTCCGTCCCCACCCCACCCCTTCCCCCA